CAAAATTTCACGCTTTGCACTCTCCTTCTTACTCCTTCCCTCTTTCTTTATACCCCCTCTCTCTACCCCCCCCTCTCTCTCTACCCCTCTCTCTCTCTACCCCCCCCTCCTCTATACCCCCTCTCTCTCTACCCCCCCTCTCTTTCTCTCGACCCCTTCTATCTCTACCCCCCCCCCCCCCTCTCTCTCTACCCCTTTCTTTCTCTACCCCCTCTCTCTCGCTCTACCCCCTCCTCCTCACCCCCCTCTCCCTACCCCCTCTCTCTACCCCCTCTCTCTACCACTCTCTCTCTACCCCCTCTCTCTCTCTCTTCTCTACCCCCTCTCTCCCTACTCCATGTCTATGTCCCCCCTGTTTTCTATGTAAGATTTGTTTTAAAAATAAATTACTACGACAAGTGCCGCATCTGCACGCAGCCCTTCTCGCAGTCCTACGGCCTCCGATGGGTCGCTCCATTCTCCCTCCACTCCCTTCCCCTCCTGTCACCACCTCATCTCAATTCTCCTCCACTCCTCTAATCTCCCCTTTGCTCCCCCCTCCTCTTCTCACATCATCCTCTTCTCATCTCTCCCATCCTCTAAGCCTCCCCTCTCCCCTTCTCTCCGCCTGTAAAAGCTAAAACAAGCAAAGGTGCAGCCCTGCAATTTCTTAGTTCACGTCACTGCTGGCAGAAGACACCGCCGACCCTCAACTTGTACTTAAGAGCCTACATCTTGAATCCCTGCCTCACTTGATGCAGCAAATCTGGCTGTGACGGTCCCACCTGATGACGGAGACTTGTGTTGCCTCCGAAACGTCGTGATTTTCATTGTTTTATTTATTATTTTAATTTCATTTTATACCTACATGGTGACTTTACCGAAAGAACTAAGGGTATGAATCCTTGCAGTCACGAAAGCTTCAAATCGAAAACAGGAGAGGGAGGTCCAGACGGTTTCTCTCCTTGATCCTCTCCACATCTCCTGGCCCTCTCCATTCGCGTTCCCCTCCATCTCCCCCTCTCACTCCCCCCCTCTCACTCCCTCCCCCCCCCGCCTCTCTCTTTGTCTGCCACACGCGGCATCTGATGGCTGAGGGCTTTAATTTTTACGCCTCATTCTCCACGCTCACACGTGCGTGCGTGGGGAGAGAGGGGGGGAGAGGGGAGAGCGAGAGATTGTGTGTGAGTGTGATAGAGTGTGTGTGAGAGTGTGTGTGAGAGAGTGTGTGTGTGTGGGGAGCGGTAGTGTAGCGGTTAGCGCGCTGCGCTATGAACCTGGCGACCCGGGTTCGATTCCCGCTCACGGCTAACACCAGTGACGATTATCTGAACCGGTCCTGGGCCTCCCCTAGGTCGACTCAGCCTTAAATGAGTACCTGGTGCGGTGTGTAAACATCGCCACTGGGGAGACAAAGGCGGTCGGGCGTGGTGCTGGCCACCCACCCCCTCGTGTACCGTTCCGGCCTTCATAGGTGCTCGCTAACAGCACTTGCCCCTACAGTCTGTTA